AATAAGTGTCCTTTATTGTTTCAGAATGGAGAGTACGTAAATTTAAAAGAAGGCACTGAATGTTAATTGGGTTTCAGCATAGAATCTGGTTTGAAACGAAGCACCATGTGCTTTTGGACAATTCAGTGCAACCTTTATATAGACGCTTCAGGTTTGCAAATTGTTTCACATATGTCCTCCTATTCCAGATTTGTACTGAGTGATTATTAATTTGATCCATTAATTTGACTGTGCGTTACTTTGAAGCTACTTAAAAACAGGTTACAAATTCTTAAGCAGTTCACCCAGAGTTCTGAAATTTCAATTAGTTCAGAAACTTACACAAATCTAAAGTAGACAACTGATGCCACCTTCTGTTTATAAGTGAAAAGTCATCTTTTATTTTTTTTCCTTTACTGTGTAGTTAAACATTTATTTTTATAAAATACCCTTTTTACATATATACGTTAGTGCTACTAATTAATTACAAATCCACAAGAAGACTAAATATATATTTATATTCATGCAAAGTGTCTTAACAAAGAAGTCTATTTCAGGTGAGACCTGATGAAGCTTAATGTTAAGATTTATGAAGTTAGCCTTTCTCTTGGCCTTTTTCTGCTTTGCTGATGTATATAATGCATACACTCTACTCCTCAGGAGTGGAAGAAATAATGCTAAAATAATTGAGCAGTGAGGTTTTGAGTATTAGAAATATACTGCCTTAATATTCCATTTGTCAGCATATATACTCTTGAGTTTAACTGTTCATCCTCAATATGGATTATATTTTTTTCAAAAAATATTTCTGTTAATGCATATACTCTCATGTATTTTCATCAGATTCCAAACATTCTCAGGAAAGCTCTGTCTATGTATTACAACATCAATGTGTCCCTCTCCCCCACACCACTGGATTTTTGTATTCTCAACAAGTAAATGGTTGCTAGGGTAAGCAGATTGAACTGAGGAATCAGTAGCCTAGTTACAGATTGTACTGCGTCAGTTTGCTTCACACCCAGAAGACAGTCAGGTGATTTAAGTCCTGCAGCAGTTGTGCAGCAAGCGAGAGACTGCAGACCTCTGCTGGAGGAAGCTTGACGTTTCATGTCTCAGTGTTTTATTTCTCCAACTGCAGCCTTTTCATTGAGATGCATAATTGATAAACCGAGTTGAAAGGGCAGATCCACTGTGAAGAGAGATGGACAGTCAGCCGAACAGTTGGAAGGATAAGGGTATTTGCAGTTTTACTTTTGTTTTCAGTCGTTATGCTGCTAAGGGTTGACTTCTATACAAAAAGCTTATATAGTATGCATGATGTAGGGGTAAATTTATAGCATATGCAATGGCAAATTTAGGAGGCAGAAAAATATTTTAAGAAATTAATGCTAAATATGGGGGAAAGATTATTTGTCTGACTCTGCAAATGTTGCAGTGGATTAAGCCTTGTCATCTGACAGCATTGAACAGCTTGTCTTTGGTATGCCCTGGCTGAGCAAATGTCAGGGCCAGCTTCAGTTTAGTTGATATGCTAGCTCTGAAAGAAAATGGCTTGGGTTTTTTGTCTGTTAAATTGTGTTGTTTAATGTAATACTTGTCTCGTGGGTTTTTATTTTTTCTGTACAGGATAATGTTCCCCACTTTTTTTTTTTTTACAAAACAGGTAAAATCAATGAAGAGCTGTTCCTTCCCTAGTTTTCATTCCCTCTCTGTTTCCTACCACTGACTATTTTTAGATGCTAATGTTATTCGAGGTCTCCTTGATTTCCAAAATGATCTAGTTATTCAGTGTTTCAAATCCCTTAGCAATCTGGTGTAAAGAAGTAACCCCAGGTAAATCACTGAACTTTGTCCCTTCAGTCTCTGATTTTGTAAATATCTGTGTTATAAAATGTTAATTTTAAGTCTGGATCTCAAATTTTAGCTTCAGTTTAAGTGGCCAGACAAAATCTCACTTTAAGGAGATTTTGTTTTAAGGAGAACTTTCTGAGATAGTTTGGGTGTGTGGATAATGGGGAAACATAGTCAAGATGGTATGGAGTCTAAAGTTCATAGCTATGGTTTCAGAAATATACAAAGGTTGCATAAGGACATTGTTTTTTTATTTGCTTTAGTCATATTTTTCCTGCCTCTTTATGTTTTAAGTTCATCAAATTGGACATGATATCAAACATAGTAAAACAAATTTTATCTGTTCTGATATGCTGTCTCTCAAATGTGGCAAATTTATAGTAATCTTTTAGATACTTTAGTGTGGTGAGCAGCATTGAAATGTGAAATATATATAATCCTAAATGTTGAAAAGGATTACTTTACTGATGAATTATATTGCAGACTTTTTCTACTAAAATGAAATGATACATATTTTTATTATATTACCACATAGTTCTATCTATAATCTATGTGAAGATTGTGCAAATTTTACTGTCAAAAATGTTGAAAGCAAGATTAGAATCAGTGAAGTATCATGATCCAATGAAGTGGTTGCCAGGGGATTATTGCACATAATTCGATGCATTACCTCAGTTATGATGCTTCCATGCACATTTCTGATTTTAGGTGAAATTATTTAAATCATTTAAGGTGCTGGACATTTACACCTGGACATAGTGTAAATCAGTCTGAGCCAAAATAGAAGTATCTATTTCATACTTCTTTAAACTAGATTTTGCTACTGTGTTTATGGCTACCATTTTGTATAAAAATCCATCAAAGCTTTAAATATTTATTAGTGGGCTTGAACAAAGATGACTAGAATTAGTTTTAACCATTAACCAGCTTCAGGACATATTTGCATATACTAGGAAAAAAAGTTAAAAAGTCCAAATATGATTACTGTAGAAGAAGACAATAAAGGCTACACCACTTTCCCACAATTTTATTTACAAGAAAACTCCAGGCGTTGAACAATATTTATTCATTAACTATATGCACAAATTTGATCAGTTAAATACATTTTATTTTCTACCACCAAAAAGAGAGTGAATGATCAAGAACTCAAGGGATTACCATTTTCTAGTATTCAGAAAGTGCTGATCTAAAAACTGATAGTGTGTGTACTGTGATGAAACTAAAACTGCTGCATAAAGGAAATATGTGCTATATACTGTAGGAACATCTTTCGTACTATTGAAACTGCAAAGATATTGTTAGGCATGCTCCAAGTTAAAATGCCTTTTTTAAAAGAACTGACAATAGGCCTTATTTTTTGTTGGGTTTTGTTTGATTTAAATTTACCTTTTGATAATGGAAAGTACTTACAGAAATAAGTTAAGAATATTGGGTAGCTAAATGAACCATACATGTGTGCTCAGGGGATTTACCCATAGTCAGAGATTCTGACCCTGTATTAAACTATGCTTGATCTTTGCTGAAAGGCTGAGAAATGATTGAGGTAGATGAGGATGGTATAATATTTTGTAAGGATCATAAATGGATAAAATCAAGAGAAAGATTTGCATAGCACCAATTTTTTAAAATTTGAATCAAGGAGTGATGTTCATTTGTGCGTTTTATTGTATTCCAAAGCTTCAGTTTGCTGACAACTTTTGGAGAAGTTCTGTTAACTAATTATCTGACTTTGGCCTGAGCCAGTTGTTTATAGCAGTATATATGAGTCACAGCTAGATGATAGCCTAGCCTGCAAGGTCACTTTTCAGCTTAGTGTTGTAAAACTTTGAACTGTGTATCTCTTACCTTGAAACTCTACATAAAACTTTTGCAATAGGTAATGGTGTGCTAAGAGCATGTTCCCCAGGCCCTATCACATACAACTCTAATAATGAGAGCTATTTGAAGGAAATAAAATTAGTAGAAAATAGTGCTTGTAGTTGAAATAAAGTAGTTACTCATACCGAATCTTTACTAGCTTGGGTGGTATCTTAATATTTGTAAAATGCTGTAAGAATAGTGCATTAATAGATATTATAATATTTTATCATGTTGCTTTGCTGCTTATTCATAACCTAGAATTTTGTTCATGATATGGAACTGCATCTTCATGGAGGAAAGTATGCAGTGGAGTATCCCAAGGCTCTGATTTGGGCCCAGTACTCTTCAATATACAATATACAATACAATAGGAGAGTGGAAGGGACCTTGGAGGT